TTTTAAATTATTGAATACCGTAGATAAGCATACGAGTGGTATTTTTGCAAAATTTTATTTTTCTAGCTAATAAATTCATAATTTTATAAGCTTTCGCCTAACGGCCATGTGGGGGCGCAAACTAGTCCCAATTAATTGTTTTAATTAATTTTTAAATTTTGATTTCTATAAGAAAATTCTGATTTCTAAAAATAAATTCTGATTTTTTAAAATAAAATCAGAAAAACATTTTTTTATTTTATTAGACAAAATATTTACAAAAATAAATATTATTTTTAAATAAAAACCAATTTTAGTAATTTTCACTTTTTTACACATTTTTCCTTTACCAATACAAAGGTGTGTTTATTTACATTTGTCCATCTTCAAAAAAAAATTTTTTCTCCTTTTTTCCCTAATTTTCCATGATTTTTTTATTATTTCACTCTCAAAAATGTGTATTTATTTAATAAAAATGTTAACAAATAAATTTTTTAAAAATTGTTGAGGCATGCGATTGTTGTTTACTCTAGTATTTTCTGAAAAATATTTATTTATTTATTTAAAAGTTTATTTTTTTAAATTTTATTTTTAGTCAAACGATTTAATTTTAGAAAGTTATTTTATTGCCCAACCTTTTTCCCTTCTATTTATACTTTTTAAATTTTAAAATTCTGATTTTATTGTATTTTTATTGGATTAATTGTATTTCTGATTTTTAATTTATTTCTGATTTAAATAATTCTGATTTTAATAATTCTGATTGTACTTGTATAATTAATTATTTATTTTGAATATTAATTATATCAGAATTTTTAATTCTGACTTGTAAAATTAATAATTCTGAAATTATTTTACAAATCAGAATAAATAATTCTGATTTAATTCAGAATAAATAATTAATAATTCTGAAATAATTATTCTGATTTAATTAGTAATTTCTTAATAATTCTGAAATAATTCAGAATAAATAATTCTGAATTAATTTTTAATTCTGATTTGTAAAATTATCAATATTCTGATTTGTTATTATCAATATTCTGATTAAAATTATCAATATTCTGATCTTTCAATATTCTGATTTGTGAAATAAACAAATCAGAATTATTTTTACATATAAACAATTTATTAATTCTGATTTCGAATAATAATCAGAATTAATAAATAATCAGAATTTAAATTAATCAGAATAAAAACAGAATTATTAATTCTGATTTTCATAAAAATAATTCTGATTTGTAAAAAGTTGTATTGTATTTTATTTATTTTTTAATTCTGATTTTTGTATTTTCTATTTATTCATTCATTTATTGTTCTTTCTGTTTTTGTTTCTTTCTTTCACAATTACTTTTGGCAACTTGGATGAATCACTTTTGTAAATTTTTTCAAACTTTTTTAATTGTTATTTTCATTTAAAAAATCACCTTTTATTTTTCTTTTGCATTTTTCTTTTATTTTTTAATTTTAAAAAAATTAAAAAAAATTTTTTTTAATTTAAATTCCCCTCCCCTCCTTCCAAACCTCCCTCCATTTTAAAAAATTTATTTTATTTCCTCTATTTTTATTTTTTTAAATAAATTTTTTTCTTCCGGTGCTAATCTCCTTTCTCTCCTTCTTTTCCTTCCAATTTATTTTTTTCCATTGTTTAGTCCACCTCCTCTTTTATTTTTTGATTATTGTTGAGTGCGCGATTTGTGATTATGAACGCTCATCTCTCCTTCCTTTCCCTTCGACAACGCGGCGATTGAAGACCGGATCCGAAGGAAAAATAGAGGGAGGATATTAGAGAGTGGATTGATATAAGGGGATTGACGAATATAAATTAAGTAAAAGAGGAAAGAATATTTGCGTACAAATTGTTTTTTTTTTCATTTATTTTTTATTGAAAATAAATAAATAAATATTTTTAATTTAATAATTAAAAAAAACAGTCCAACTAATATTTTTAGATACCTAAAATTAGAGACTGTATGGCCTCTATTAATTGCCCTTCTCGAATCGAATAATTGTCCTCTCTTGGTTAATTACCCCCCCCCCCCCCCTTGAATACCGCTTACCGTATTTTCTCGATTAATTCCCTTGGAGACTGAGAGGGTGAGGAATTATTATTTCAGTCCATTTCTGAAATGGGGAATTAATTGAGAGCGGGAAATTAATTGAGAAAATACGGTAAACGACACTTCTCTCTCTCTTATTCTAAGAGATAGCTTGTCTTAATTTTCTAAAAAATTATTTTTTTGAAATTTAAGAGTGATATCATTTAAATAAATAATTTTAATACAAGTTGTATCCTCTTTACAAGTACAATTAAAAATCCCTTATAAAAATTCCTGTTCTGCATGGGTGGACATTGGAAAAGAATTGTATTTATGTATATTATCCCTTCCTAAAAATTCTCTCGAATTAAAAAAAATAATTTTTTATTTAAAAATATGTTTAAAATCCTTATTAAAAATTTTTTGTAGCAAGAATTAAATTTTAATTCTGTTTGTATTAAGTAAATTTCAACATAAATACATGGTCCATTCCTTTTGTTGCGCTAAAATTTCAACGAATCATTTGATAATCCGAGGGAAATTAAAGGAGAAAGCAGAGGTGAATCGGAATCGAAATTCTGATTTCCGACGTTTTTTCCTTCTGATTTCCAAATTTTGGAAAAATTTCCAATTTCCGACAGTTCCGATTTCCGGCACCTTCGTCATTTCCGAGTCACCTCTGGGAGAAAGGAAAAGGAGTTGAATACAGCAAAAAATTATTTTAGGCAGAATGCCTTTTACAGACATGGGGACGACGAGGTATACATATAAACATTTACCATTTTATTATTTTTGAATTAAAATATAAAGGTTCTGACTTGCTCCCCCTTAAAAGATACTTGATACAATTTTACAATTCTTCATAGTTTGCAGTCTTTTAAATTAAAAATAAATATTTATTTTGTACTCTGTGGTTTACTCAATAAATTAAAAATTGAAAAAAAATTCTGATTTTATTCATTATTTTTGAATAAATTCCTTCCTCTTTTCCACACAGAATATTTTTGAAAATTTTTTTAAGTTATAATCACGTTGAGAGAAATTTTTTAAATCTTCCCTTCTTCAATTTCTATATTTATTTTTTTGTCACTTTTTAAGATTTTTTTTTAAATTTTTGTTTGAACTTTGTGTTGTCGTATTTAATTAATGTTATCAATTTTAAGGAAATTTTTCAATAAAAATTCAATAAAAACTGTTCATTTATTTTAATAAATATATTTTTTTGATTGCTAGTTTAATTGTACTAATAAAATTGCCAAAAAGAAAATTCTTTTGATTTTTTATTTTTTTTATTCAAATAATTTTCAAGGCTATTTCCTTTCTTATTTTTAAGATAACCCTGAAAAATTAAAAATAAAAAATCTTTGAATTTTTTTTTAAATTTAATTTTTGGACTTTAAAAGGGCTAGGTAATTAATTGAGTGTGTTGATAAAAATAATTCTGATTTGAAAAAATAAATTAAGAATAATTCTGTTTTATAAAAATAAAAATTAAAATTCTGATTTTATTTGGTATTTTTATTAATTTTTTTGTGGGTGAAATACTGATTAATACTAATAATTCTGATTTGTAATTACTACTTTGTATTTTTTAATTCGACAAAATTCTGATTTGTAAAATGTTCAGAAAACAAATCAGAATTATTTTTACAAATAAACATTAATTCTGATTTTGAAATAATAATCAGAATTATTAAATAAAATAAATCAGAAATAATCAGAATAAAAATAATAAAAACCAGAATTTTTGAACAGAATAAAAATCAGAATTAACAATTTTGATTTTTATAAAAATAATTCTGATTTGTAAAAGGTTGTATTTTAATTCTGATTTTTGTATTTTAATTCTGATTTAAGTATTTTATTTATTTTTGTATTTCTTCTGTTTCCTTTTATTTTCGCATAATGTAAGGAAACAAAATGCAAAATGAAAAACCTTGCCCGAAGCACCGATTTATTTTTAAATTTATTTTTTTATATTTTTAAATTTTGTTAAAAAATTATTTTCGCGCGTGCTTTTCATTTTCCTCTCTTTTAAAAAATATTATTTTTTTATCATTTTATCAAAAATGGGAGCTAAAAGAGGAAGAATTTTTTGTGTTTTAATTTATTTTTTTAATTAAAAAAAATTTATAAAAAATAAATTAACCAAAAATAGATAAAAATACCTGTACCTATTTTTAATTTTTAATTGAATCATATGCCCCTTTAATTAAATTTAGTAACAAAAAATATTTTTAAAAAATTTATTTTTTAATTTAAAATTAAAAATGTTAAAAGTAGAAAAAAAATAAAAAAAAAATATTTTTAACTTATATTTTGTTTTTAATTTTCTTTTTATTTTTTGTTTCATAATTAATCAAAAAATTAATTAAATGTTTGACGAGTAGACAAGGAAGTAATTAAATTAATAATTTAATTTAATTAATATTTTTAATGTAGGAATATATAGGTAAGATAAATTCAGGGTATATTTTATATTTAATTTCGACCGTATTTTCCTATTTTTTCCCAAAAAAATTTTTTTCAATAAAATTTTTTTATTTAAAACACAAATATTATAAGATAGATATACACCTTTCAAGAAAACTTTCAATTCAATCTCAACGTTTTGTTAAATTTGACTAGCTATTTGATATTCCCTAAGCATGCCCCATCTCTTTATGATACACCTTGTTATAGGAGAAAATTTTCAGAGCCCAAATGTTCGACTGTATTTTAAATTCTTTTCCCCCAAGAAATTCAAGTAATCTCCCATGTAACACTGAGCTATAACTAGGTTCAAAATTAACAAATCAGTGACGCCCTAGTATTGTTTGATGCAGCTCGTCGAGACGCATCGATCCATGCTAAGTCGTCCGGGATTCAATAATTTTTAACCAAGTTATAACTCAGCGGTACATTGGACTCCGATACACTGGCCTGCTCCAAAAATTCCTAAAAATTTTTTTTATAAATTTTTGGATTTTATAGACTAATAGGACATTTTTAAAAAATTATTCAATTTCCTTCCCCTTTCTTCCTATTTTTCTTTCCCATTTTTATTTAATAATCCCGCTCTAAAATTGTTATTATTTTTTGTTTCGTCTCAATTCAATTGTTCTCTCAATCACAATTATTTTATTAAAATAAATTTACACTTAATTTACGCTGTCCTAACCAATTATTTTTATTTTTTTATTTTTTTATGTTTCCATAAAAATTAATTAAAAAAATAATTTTTTTAAATTTAGAAATGCTTTGGAATAATTTTTTGAATAAAAATAAAATATTTGTTTTTAATGAAGAAAGGGATAATAAAGAAAATAAAGTAGTGAAAATAGATCAACTTGAGGTAAAAATTAAAAATTTGAAATACAAAAAATACGAAAAAATAAAAAATACAGAGACAAAAAATTAAAAAACACGAAAAAACACAAAACAAAAATTTTCAGTTATTACTCCGTCAGTGCACAGAACATGCACTAACCCCCAGTCAGCTGGCGGATTTATTCCCATTGGCGAGGATTTGCCCTGAAAATGTACTATCAAGTCGCGGAATGTCACAGGTCTTTAACGAATTAAAATCAAAAACACAAAAAACACAAAAAAACAAAAAAGTACAAAAAACACAAAAAAATACAAAAACACAGAAAAATACAAAAAACACAAAAATACAAAAAAGTACAAAAAACACAAAAAAATACAAAAACACAGAAAAATACAAAAAACACAAAAATACAAAAACACAGAAAAACACAAAAAATACAAAAATACACGAAACACAAAAAAACACAGAAAAATACAAAAAAAGACAAAAAAAAATACAAGAAAATACAAAAACACAAAATTACAAAAATATTTATTTTAAAGGAAGAAGCCCAACTTCGTTTGGAAGATAAAATAAAATTTAGAAGAAAACAACGTTTGCTAAAGTTGCGCAATAAAACAACAAAACCTTTTAATTTAAATATTCTTCAGAATCCATTTCAATTAATTTTATTAACTTCCATAATTATTTATTTTGTAATTCTTTTATTTTCTTTATTTTATGATTTCGAAAAAGAAAATGGAATAATTAATGAATTTAATTTGTAAGTTGGGGAATTATGTGTGTTTTTAAAGTAAAATACAAAAACACAAAAATATCAGAAATACCAAATTCAGAATAACAGAATTTCTCAAGTGACAGAAAATACAAAAATCAGAATAGAAATACAAAAATCAAAAATCAGAAAATAAAAAAACAGAAGAACATGAGAAATACATAAATCAGAATATCAGAATTATTTTAATTTACCTACTTAGAGTGAAATACAAAAATCAGAATTTTAAATTAAATGCTAAAATACAAAAATCAGAATTAAAGTAGGCAAAACACAAAAAATACAAAAATCAGAATCAGTAAAAGAAACACAAAAAATACAAAGAAAATACAAAATACCAGAATAAAAATTCAGAATAACTAGTATTAATTAAAAAATACATTTATCAGAACAACAACAAGCAATAGACAACAACTACACCAACTACAACATTTCTTTACTCAACCAATAATTTCTTCAATAATTTCTGTTTTATTAATTCAAATTATATTTTTATTTGGAATTTTTATTATTTCTAAAATTTTTAATCCATTTAAATATTTAATTAATTTAAATTCTGAAAAATTAAAAAAATCAACTAAACGTTTATGCGAATATTATATAGCACAACGTGGGGGCGTGGAAGTGAAAATATCTGAAAAAGAAATTTTGCCTGGAGATTTAATTAAATTAACGAGTGGACAGAGAGTGCCTGTTGATTGTAGAATTTTGGTTAGTTAAATAATTAAATTCAAAAAATAGTCAGAAAATAATCAGAAAACAGAAATACAAAAACACAAAAATACGGAAAAACACAAAAAAATACAGAAAATACAAAAAATAAAAAATAAAATACACAAAAAATACATAAAACACAAAACACAAAAATACGAAAAAATACAGAAAATACATAAAACACAAAAATACAAAAAACACAAATTCCCCCCATTTTCAGCATGTTTTGAAAGAACCTTTTCTTGTTAATCAAAGTAGTATTTTTCAACAACATCAAAATTTGGGAGAAAATAATATAATAATAGAATTAATATCAAAAACATCACCAAATCATTTAAATGTACTTGAAGCAAGAAATATAGCTTTTGCTGGTTTTAAATGTTTAAATGGGGAGGCTTTTTGTATTGTTTTAAGAACTAGAGAGGAAACGGTAAATTATTATTTTAATTGGAAATACCTATATAAAAATCAGAATTAAAATAGAGACATAAGAATCAGAATTTTAAAATTAATTACAGCAATACAAACAGAACTAATATAAAATACAAAAATCAGAATTTTAAATTACAATAGCATATTTTAATTAAAACATACAAATCAGAACAAATGAATAAATAAAAATCAGAATTACAATTAAAAATACAAAAATCAGAATTAAAATAAAAAATCAGAATTTTAAGAGTAAAACGTTCTGGTTTAACATAAAATACAAAATCAGAATTAAGAATCAAAATTAAATCAAAAATGAGAAATCAGAATTAATAAATAAAATACAAAAATCAGAATTTTGTATTACAATAGGTTTTAATTTTTAAAATACAAATTAGAACAAATGAAACACAAAAATCAGAACAAATAAAAATACAAAAATCAGAATTTTAAATTTTTCAATAAAAACACAACTTTTTAGCTTCTATCAAAACTTAATTCTAAAACATCAGCCAAAACAACAATTAAAAATATCCCTCCCCCTCCCTATTATTTAACATCACCTACATTAACTAAGGAAAATAATAATGGTAAAGAAGAGGGATTTGATAAAAATAAAAATAAATTAAAATTATTGTTTGGTTGGCCAATTGTTTGTATAGCTGCTTTTTGTTCGTTAATTGCTTCTTTAGCTTTTGGTTATTCTTTGTTTTTGTTGTTGCCGTCGACTGAAAATCAGAATAATAAAAGTAAGAAAGAGAATAATTGTTTGTAGGATTAAAATAGTGTACTGTATTTAATTGAGTAGCCGGCCGTCCTATTTTTCTTTACCCTTCAATTCCCGGTTAATCACCTTCAAGCCGTCAGTGTCCATCAATTAGAAAATATGTATATCAGTTAAGTCTGACAAGTCTGAATACATTAATTAAAGACTAATTTATATATTTATTATAGCCAACTGGTACCACAACTCAATCCAATTATTAATTCCTTTTGTCTGTACATTTATTGCCCTACTCATCTCTACACCTCCCTATGCTTTACCTTTAACTTTATTAATTAGACAATGGTATACTCAACGTTATCTTGCTTGTAATAAAGAGAAAAACAATCCAACAGAATTTAGATTTATTAAAAAACAAGAGAATAAAACTGAAAATTATTTTTTAAATGGAGGGGGAATAATGGGAAATGATTGTATTTTAATTGTGAGTCGAATTAAATTTCTAAATATAGTCTCAAACCCTTCTGATTAAAGAGGTTATATCCAATAGTAAATAAACCTGAGTTTAAGATAATCATTATTTATTCTGGTTGGTTACTTAGTGGAAGAGGTAAATCGAAATCCCGATTTCCGAGTTTCGACTTTTGAGCGATTTCCGACAGTTCCGATTTCCGGAACCTCCGTCACTTCCAATTCACCTCTGCTTGCTAGAAGAGGGGAGCTATCTCAAGAATCATTATTTTTTGAATGAAGGGAACCCTCTATTTAACATAACCTCGTTACGATTTTTAGCCGCTGATATCTTAAATATAATGAGGTACGACTGTTAGATAAACTCGATTTTTAATTTAATGGGAGTGTGACCTACTGGGAGTGTGACCGGAGCTGCATAAGCTGTAAGCGTGGTGCAAGGATTAGTGTTCCGCCGGAAGTTCCGGTTAGATCCGGTTCCGGTTCTGGCAAAATTTGCAGTTCCGGCGGAATTCTAGTAAGGATACCTTCTATGTAAGGATACTCTCTATTTAAACCACCCCAATATAAGCCATGATTTTTCCAAACTTTTAGCCCTTAGAGGTAGGTATCCTATAAGTTCCTACTATAATTTAAATAATTTTTATAATTTTTCAACAGATCCATAGTAACTCTTTATTAGGAGGAAATCAGCCTTTCCTCTCAGATATTTGGATGGTTAGTGAAAAAAATAATCGGCATATTTCCACAAAGGTTTGGGAAAAATTAAAGTTTAAAACAAAAATTAAAATTTCCAGACTTTCCCAAAATATCTTGATAACCAAACTATTAAATTTATAAAAATGGGTGTCTCTGCAATTTTTAAAAATTTACCTTTGGAAAATAATAGAATTAATAATTGTGATTATAATCAATTAAAACCTGAATATTCTGCTTTACTTAAGGTGGGTAGTTTTTTAAAATTTTATTTTTTATTGTCTAGAGAAGGGCTGATTTAGTGGAAAAATTTTTAGAGAACTATTATTTTTTAAAATTTATAGTTAATGACAATTACCGTAAATGCCCGAATAATTACTCTAAGCTATTATTATTTCGACCTTTCGCTGGATGAGGCAATCATCGAGAGGAGCTTAAATTTGGGGTATATCTCAATATATCGAGGATGAAATCTATTTATTTTTTGATATTATGTCTTAAAATGTCTCAATAACTAAAAATGACAATGATTTTTTCAATATTTTTCAAATTTAAGGAAAAAGAGGGAGTAATTATTTGAGAGAGGGTAATTATTTGAGAGAGGGTAATTTTTCGAGCATTTATTGTAAAGCCGAGGAAAATTCTAACCCACCAAATGACCCTCTACTAAAATAAGGCTATTCTTAAGGTGAATTTGTGGTGTTTCCTAAATTTTGCCTGAAGCTTTTAATTTTTAAAAATTCCAATTTAATTTTTTATGCTTTTAGTATACCAAAGAATTAGGAATATCAATAGATGAATGCCAAAATGATGAAAACAAATTTGTTTTAATTGGTCCACCAGAAGAAATTTTTGGAATGTGTTCATTTATTAAAGAAGAAAATAATGAAAATAATAATTTGGAAGATAAAAATAATTTTGTCGATTTAAGAGAAGAACATTTGATGGAATTTGAAGTGAATTTTTTTTTATTTTTAAAAATTAAAAAATCAAAAAAAAAATTTTTAAATTAATTTTGATTTTATTTTACCCACATGTCAAGGTGCCGGTACACACTTCTATAAGAATCTATAGAATTATCAATTTTTGTCCTATAATAATGAAATTTTGCAGAAAGCTAGCTATTATAGTAAACTAGCTTCTCTAAAAATTTCAGAATTTTTGGTTTTGTATTTCTCAAGTTCTGGTTGAAAATGTGTTCGTACTACCAGAAAAATGCTGTTTTCTGATGATTATTCTGACACAACTTTAAGAATATTTAATTAAAAATTCTGAAATTTTCAGAATATCAAGTTAACAGTGTTTTGTTTCTAATTACAGAATTTCAGGCTTATAGGTTCATTTTAGACAATTTTATTTTTGACGTCGCGCATAGACGGTTCTTGGTAGTAAAATAATCGAAAAATTAAATAAAATTTTTAAATTATTAAAAAAATTATTTTTTAAATATTTTCAATTTTAATAAAAATCCTAAAATCAAAAATTTAAATATTTTAGGAACAATTTCTTCGTTTTTGTGTCCAACGAAAACGCTGTCTGGCCCTAGCAGTTAATTCAACACCCCCACCAATTAATAACAATAACAGCCAAAATAATTTAAAAAATAAAAATTTTTGTTTTGTTGGATTATTTGCTTTTGAAGATGCTCTTTTAAATATTAAATATTTAAATAAATTGGATAAATTAATTGAAAATGGCCCAAAAATGATTTTTATAGGAGATGAACATCCAGCATTATTAATTGCTAAAATAATGGAATTAAATGAAAAAAGTTGAAAAAAATAAAAAAAAATTTTTTATTTTAATTTAAAGGACCCCAAAAATTGATTAACACAACATATTCAATAATTACCCTTTTATTATTGGAAATGGAACGGCTAAAATTGAAAATTCTGAAAATAATATGGAGAGGGGGAATAATGAAAATAATAAGGTAAATTATTTAAAGTATACCTAGTTGTGTTCTGGTTTTAATTTTAATTTTGTATTTTTTAGTTGATTAATTGTTGTGTTTTAGTCTATTTATTCTATTTATTCTATTATTTATCTATTTATTCTGCTTTTGTATTTTTCTAAAATTCTGATTTTTGTTTATTTATAAATTCTGACTTTTGTATTTTTTTAAAATTCTGACTTTTGTATTTTTGTTATAAATTCTGATTATTTTATTCTGACTTTTTAATTCTGATTTTTTCGAATTTTTGCATTCTGATTTTTTATTTTTAAATTCTGATTTTTGAATGTATTTAAAAGTATTTTGAGATTAATATTCCTCACCGACATTAATTTATTAAATAATTTGTAGGAAAATTCATTTCTTCACCAACTTCAAAATCAACTTTTGCGTCGTTTAAAAAATCGGAAAAATGTTGATTTTGTTTCAACATCCACAACAACATCGATATCTACATCTACAACATTATTTAATTCTAAAATGAATAATAAAATAATTAATGGAAATATTAAAGAAAAATTGGAAGTTTTTGATGAAGAAAATATTAAGTGGCCGATTGATGGTAAAAAATAAAAACACAAAAATTCTGATTTAATAACTAACAGAATTAATTCTGGAAATAAAAAATCAGAATTAAATTTAAAAAAATAAAACACCAACAAAATACAAAAATTATAAAAATCAGAATTTATAATCAAAACAAAAACAAGTAATTCTGATTTAATTAAAAACAGAATTTTTGCTATAAACACAAAATCAGAATCAAAAAATACACAACACCAGAATTATATTAACAATTCTGATTTTTAAATTCTGATTTTTAAATTCTTATTTTTAAATTCTGATTTATACATTATTAAGAATACAGAAAAACACAAAAACAGAATTTTATAGAATTATAGGCAAAGACAGAAAATCAGAATTTACTTTAAAAAATACAAAAATCAAAGCCGCAAAAAGCATATAAAGACAAATAAAATACAAAAATATTTAAAATATAAATTAAAAATTATTTTTAAAGGCGAATCTTTTTCACAAATGTCTACAAAGGAAATACAACAATTACTTGCTGAACAATTTAATTCAAAGAAAAATAATTTTGTAAAAAATAAATTTCCTCTAAGCTTTAGCAAACTAACATGTGAACAAATTACTTTAATTATTAAGGTATTTATTAAATTTATAATAATTTAAAAATAAAAACACGAATAATACATAAAAGAAAAATGCAAAAAACACAAAAAACACAAAAAATACAAAAACACAAAATATACATAGAAAATACAAAAACACAAAAAACACAAAAAACACAAAAAACACAAAAAACACAAAAAATACAAAAAATACATAGAAAATACAAAAACACAAAAAACACAAAAAATACATAGAAAATACAAAAACACAAAAAACACAAAAAACACAAAAAATACATAGAAAATACAAAAACACAAAAAACACAAAAAACACAAAAAATACATAGAAAATACAAAAACACAAAAAATACAAAACACAAAAGAATTCTTTTAGGAACTCCAATTAATTGGCCATAAAGTCACTTTTGTGGGGGATGTCCAAAATTCAATAAACGAAGGTCAGGCAATTAAACAAGCAAATTTAAGTGTTGGAATAATTAATTATTCTAATAAACTTAACAATTATTCTTTCAATTTTTTTGATGTTTTAATTAAATGTTTGGAAGATGGAAGTGGTTTAGTTAAATTAATTGTTGGAATAAAAGAATTTGGAATTGGAATGAAAATAAATTTAATTAGGTAATTAATTTGTTTTGTTCTGATTTTAATTCTGATTTTATTTAATTTTCTGATTTTAATTATTCTGATTTTAATTAGTTCTGATTTTAATTCTGTTTTGTTTTGTGTTTTCTTTTAATTCTGATTTTGTTTATTTTTATTTCTGATTTTATTTATTGTTTATCTTTTGTTCTGGTTTTGTTCTGATTATAATTAATTTTGTGTTTTTCTGCTAGTTTAGTTTGTTGTTTTTGTTTGTTTTAAATTCTGATTTTGTTTTTCGTCTAATTCTGTTTTGTGTTTTCTTTTAATTCTGATTTTGTTTTTATTTTTGACTTTATTTATTTATTGTTTATATCTAGTTCTGATTTTTTCTGATTTTATTTTGTGTTTTCTTTTGATTTCTGATTTTCTAATTCTGCTTTTTATCTCTTTCTTGAATAATTTTTTTTAATTTTCAGGTCATTGTCCTTAACACTTTCTCAAGCGCCAGCTCTTTTATTACCTTTCCTTCTCAGTCCATTATCCGACATTCCACCAATAATTTTACCAATACATGTTAATTTTTATTTAATTTTTAAATTTTTAAATATTTTTTAGATTGTGTTAGTTGCTTTCCTCTTTCAATTACAATATTGTATTGGATTTGCTTTTACTTCTTTTGATGTAAGAAAAAATATTTTTAAGTGAATATCGAATCAAAAAATTGTTTTGAAAATCAGAAATTAATTCAGAACCAGAATTTTCAGTCAGAATCAAAAATCAGAACTTTTTTAAAATCAGAATCAAAAATTCAAATCAGAACCGAATAGATAATCCGAATTTCTTAAAAATCAGAAATTTAAATTTAAAAATATTTTTTAAAGTCAATAAACCACCATCAACATTCTCTACCTACAATTTATTTTAATTTAATATTGGCTAGTCCATTGCTTGCATTTTCTTCATTATTTAATTATTGGAATACTTTATATTCCCAAAATATTTATTTAGAACCCAATAATGATGTTAAAGAATTTTTTTCTCCTTTCCCGATTAATTCTACAATTTCTTCAACAATTTTAAAGCAACAATTAAACCTTAATGAGGCCTCTACAATTTGGCTTTTTACTCTACTTTTTACCCAACATTTACATATTCTGATTTGTATTGGGTTTACTAATGTGTTTTGTGGGAATGTTCTGAAAAGGTTGGAAAATGTGTTTTTAAAAGAAAATACAAAAATCAGAATTTAAATAAATTTTAACGGAAAAACACAAGTCAGAATTTAAAAGGTTTCCGGAAAATACAAAAACCAGAATTTTAAATAACAAATAAAAATCAGAATTAAAAGTAAACACAAATACCAGAATTTAAAAAAATACAAAAATCAGAATTAAATAAAAATACACATGTCAGAATTATTTTTAATTCTGATTTCATTTTTGCGATTCTGACTAAAATACAAACATCAGAATTTAAAAAAAAATACAAAAATCAGAATTACCCGAATAATAAAAAATCAGAATTTAAAAAATATTTAAATTGTTATTTTAATTTTAGCCTAAAATTAATTATTTTATGGATTTGTATATTTTTATTCAACATTTTGTTATTGTTTTTATTTATTTATCTGCCTGGATTGCGCAACTTTTTTCAATTAACCCCGCCTTCTTCACATAATTTTTGGTGGTGGATTGTGATTGTAATTGTTGGGGTTGTTTTTGTGTTTTTGAATATTGTAGGTTATTTAAAAAATTATTTTTAAAAATTATTTTTGATTTTTAAGGTAAATAAAATCTTAAAAAAAAGAAATAAAATCAGAATTAATTATACAATTAAATAATCAGAATAAAAAAATTAAAATTAATAGAAAAAAACAAATATCAGAATTGAATTAAAATATTAAATCAGAATTTTTTCACAATTTTTTTCTAATTTTCTTTGAAAAAATCAGAATTTTTTTTTCAGAATTTTATCAGAAAATCAGAATTTTTTTCAGAATTTTATTAGAAATCAGAATTATTTTCAGAATTTTCTTCGAAAAAATCAGAATTTTTTCTCTAACTTTTATCGGAAAATCAGAAGTTTCTTCAGAATTTTATCAGAAAATCAGAATTTTTTATTTTAATTTTACAATTTAATTCTGATTATGTATTTTAGTTTTATATCTATTTTTAAACTAAATTCTGATTCAATATAAAAATACAAAATCAGAATAAAAATACAGAAATTATAATTCAAAACCAAATTAAATGTTCTTTTTAGCTCTTTCGATTTCTCTTAAATAATAATGCCTTCAAAAAATCAAAATTCTACAAAACTATTTTAAGATGGCACAACAAACAAGAAAATATTTAAGATTGATATTTTAATTTCTTTTAAAATATTTTAAAATTTGATCTCATTTTGTATATTATTTATATAATGGATTTCCACATGCTAAGATTTTTTTATTTGATATTCAAGTTAAATAAAGACTCTTTAATTTAAAAAGGAGTCTTAATATGGGTAAAAGTCAAGTTCATTTTTAAATAGACGATGTATAATTTATCTTGTAAAAATTACAAATTTATTTTAATTCTCATTTTTCTACACTGTACTAAACATATATTTTTTTATAAAAAATTTTAAAAAATAAAAAAAATTTTTCCTTTATTTTTTTAATTAATACAAGATCTAGCTTCATTTTCAAAAACAATTTGCATATTAATAGTTCCAATATTAAAAAATTTGGAAGGTACAGCTCCGTTGGTAACAAAAGAGTCGGGAATGTTAAAAGTTACTTTTCGTTGACAGGGCATTATTCCTTAAAAAATATTATTTAAAATCAGAATTTAAAAATCAGAAAATAAACGAATAAAATCAGAATTAAAAATCAGAAATTAAATTTAAAATCAGAATTTAATAAAACCAGAAAATAAGCTTGAGAACAAATAGACTTTTAAAATGTCATAAATTAAATTAAAATCAGAAAATAAACTTTTAATAAAACCAGAATATAGAAACAAGAAAATAAATTTTAATAAAAAACCAGAATTAAAACTTGGAATAAATAAAATCAGAAATTAAATTTAAAATCAGAATTTAAAAAATTAGAAAATAAACTTTATTAAACTTGAATAAAAATCAGGATTTAATAAACCAGAAAATAAACTCTAAAAATTAATTACCGTCATCGCAGTCATGAAAAATCCTCAACTGTACATCAATTGTAGTTAATTCTGTTGTTTTTCCACTTAATTGAAATCTACCCCGTGCATCTGTTTTGGTCGTTGCCATTAAATCTGTTTAGCATTTTTGAATTATTAAATAATTTTTATTTTACCATCCAGGTCAGGCCCTATAATGAAAGATTTTTAAAGTATATTACCGTATTCTCTCTAATAGAAGGGTTGTCATTTTATTAGAGAGGCATTCAAATTCGCGATACAATTAGAGGAGTCACTCAAATCGAAGGGTCAATCAATTAGAGAGAAAACGGTAATTGACTTGAAAATTAAAAGGAAATATATAATTAATTACCTCTATCATGGTCATACAATTTTATCTTGAAAAAAAAGAATTTTTTTATGTTTTTTATTTTAAATTAAATTTTTTCACAAATTTTTTCCCTTACCTTTGTATCTGCTAACGGTTTCTCTGAAATTTTTAAAATAAAATGAATTTTTTAGTTAAATTTAATTTCACCTCCACACATTAAAGTTCCCCTTACGCCTGCGGATTGTGTACGGAAGCAATCACAAAAGGGTGTTGATATAAATAACAGAACAAAAACGAGAAATAACAAAGAATTTATTGGGTAGACTGCCATGAATTCTGATTTTAATTGATAAAAATTAAAAACAAAAAATAAAATCGAAATCAGAAAATCATAAAACAATCGTAATTAGATAATTAAATCAGAATTTTTACATAATTTTTACTTACAAAAATCAGAATTAATAAAAATCAGAATTTAAAAGAGGGAAAAAAGAAGCAAAACACAAAACAGAATTATAAATTTTAAAAATAAAATACAAAAATCAGAATATAAAACACAGACAATTAAAACAAAAACACATAAAAACACAGAAAGACAAAAATTCAGAATTAATAAAAATCAGAATTTAAAAGGAAGAAGAATAAAAGGAGAAAAACAAAGAAACACAAAAATCAGAATTAAAAACACAGACAATCAAAACAAAAACACATACAAACACAAAAATAAAACCAGAATTAAATACAAACAAAATAAATTTAAAATCAGAAAATAAACTTGGAAATAAAAATAAACGTCTTATTTTCCGAAATAATTAAATTCAAGTTTTGAGCATTCTTTTAAAACTTTTTTGGGTATTGTTGTAACAATTTAAAAGTTGAGCACTTACAAAATAGGGGGAGGCTGTCCAACAACAATTAATCATCGCTAAATATGTAGAATTTTCTTTTTTTATTTTCAATCAATTTATATTTTAATTTATCTCTTTATTTTGTTGATATTTTTTATTTGCACTATTTTTACGTGTGCGCGTAAAAATATTAAAAAAATAAATTTTTGAAAATAAAATTAAAAATATTTACAGTGGTGGAAAAAAGTATGAAAGCACTAGAAAATTTTTTTAATTATTAAGTTTTCATTCAAAAAATACGTTCTATATAGCAATTGAAAGCTCTATCTGTATCTCAGTTGACATGTTTCTGCATTTTTCATGAAAATGAAAATTAACCGAGATAATCCGGATCTACCGGATATACCAAATCCCATTTTTTCGGAAGAAGGGCAAAATTTTTACCTCTCGATAAAGCCAGAAATGAAAGCTCCCAGCATCGAAAAGCTCTCAACATCAAATTACCTCCAAATATTTGCTGTTTTCTCAGCCACCTTTAGAAAAAAAATAATTTTAAAAATTGTTAAAGCATTGATCTAGTAAATTCTGTAGGTCAGCGTAAGGTCAGAAAGCTTCTTCACATATTGTTGATAAAAAATGGAAACCACCAGGGCCAGTATCATAAGAAAGTGGTTTATGGTTATTTAACCTATACCGAGCACTTAAGCTCAGATCCCATCGTCGGTTATACATAATCCAGATCAAAACTGAATGCTTCAAATTTCTAGAAATAAGCTTCACTGATTGGACGAGGTGGATAAAGTTGGATTAGCCGAATCCTAATCCGTCTAAATATACTCAGAAGTCAAAATATATACCTAGTTAACGAGTCAATTACTATTTCTCGGAAACAGTTCAAAATTGGATTACGAAAAAAAGAAAGACTGTCACCAGTGAAAGAGCAACGGAACGCCAACTTTTAAAATACTATAAAAGGCTTTGTTTTTTTCATTCTACACCTTTCAACAAAAATATTTTTTCAAAGCAATTATTAAAACAACGTTCAAATCAACATCAAAACAACAACAACAAACAAAATGTTCTTTTATTTAATTCGACAAGAAGAGTTTAAAGACGGTTCTGGAACAAGAAAGTCTTCTTCATTTCTGCGCTCGTCGACTACCAACATTTTGCCAACTCTCTTTGCTTCTTTGGTTTTTTTGTTTCTTCTCGGGCAGGTTAAGGGTGATGATGGTGGTGATGGAATCCCTGTTGGGTTTTTCAATCACACGCTGAAGGATGGAATGGTTACACTTTCTGAGGGAACCGTAGAAGTCAACGAGACCAATCTGGAATTGTTCACGAATCATTCTGGAGCATGTGAAGTTACTTTTGAGGGCAATTTCATGTGAGTTTCCCTGATAATAGTCTTAAAATAAATTTTCACACTTTCAGCGTGCTCCACTACAAAAGGGAAAGCATTGCGGCAAGGAATGGTTGCACAGTGGACTTGCTCACCAATCTTCAGAACATGATTTCTTTCACAACCGAAGTGAAGCACAGCGATGTGTTTGAAAAATGCCTGGGGAAATGCAAAAGATCAAAATTTTTCTACGGAAGTAGTGACAATCTGTAAGTTTTTGTTAATTCGGAGAATAATCTAGTAAAATGCCTTTTATTCTAGTTTGCCTTTCGCCTACAGCACGACAGAAGATAAGAACATCACAGAAATAACAAATGGACCAATTTATAAAGAAAATGTGACATGTTATGAAGAGGAGGAGTGTCAAAACGGTGGTGGAAGATGTATGCCATGGACGTCTCTTGAGGTTGCGTGGAGCACCTGCGATGATAAATTCTTCGCTCACACCCATCCAAGTATGTTATGGTATTTTACCATTTAGGTATCTTGCAATTTTAGTTGGTGAAGCTGAGGCACATTGGAGGCGGCATAAATTTTACGGCAGAAATGATGCGGAATTGTCTTTCAATTTGAATATAACGAAGGATGGGAATTTTATAATTGACTTTGAAGGAGAGCAGATGGACTATTTTGATTGGCCGTATCCCGCTTTCTGCATTCCTGAAAAGAAAGGCATAGCTGAACCTGTTACATGGGTAATCAACGGGAATCTACCGAATTCGAATTATACGAACTTGCTGGTCTTCCATATGCTTCCACAAAAAGCAGCTCGAAAGTACATTGATGGCAAGATCAAAAAAGATGATCCTCCTGATCAGACCTGGGCGAAACTCAAAATTTTTTTCTGACGAAACGAAACGAAACAAAATTTTTTAAAAATCGTTTCGTTAACGAAACGAAACGAAACAACCAAAATCTTACGAAACGAAACGAAACAAAACGAAACATTTTAATATTCAAAAAATTTTCAAAACTGCATTTATTTCGAAATTATTCGACCTCAAATACGTTATTAGTCGACTATGACTTATAAATGATTTAGTTATTGGTTTATTTACAACAATTGTGTCCCATAAGCCAGGCCCGTAGCAAGGAAAATTTTCGGGGAAGGGGGGGGGGGGGTCAATCATTTTCGAAGCCAAATTTTTGGCGACGCTTTTTTTTAAATAAAATTGAATATTTTTCAAGTAAAATTTTATTTTAAGCGCCGCAGACGAAAAATTTTAAAATTTTGAAAGGCCGTAGGCCAAAAAATTCACCATCTTGCTCCATTGCCTACCCAAATTGTCTCCATATCTCCATTTCGAGAGGAAGGCGATATAAGCTAGTGCTTCGCCGGAAGTTCCGGTTCCAGTATTTCCGCAACTCGCAATCCGCAATTTTTAAATTATGATGCGAGTCCGGTAATAGAATTTGTCGTCGATTAAGTAATATGTATATGTGGATTAGGGAGTGGAGTATAAACGGATTTGTAGTATATAAGTAATTGCTATCTTCCTTTTTCAGCGCCGCAGGCGAAAATTTTGACAATTTGGGAAAGCCAAGAAGCCGAAATTCTTTTTTTTTCAGCGCCGCAGGCGAAAATTTTTTAAATTTTCAATAAAAGATGGTAAATTTTATAGATTTTGGCCTTAGTTTAGGCTTAAAAAATTGTTTCGTTTCGTTGAAAAATCACAGGTGTTTCGTAACGAAACGAAACGAAACAAATTTAAAAGTGTTTCGTAACGAAACGAGACGAAACAGTAAAAATCATACGAAACATACGAAACAACGAAACGAAACGAAACGTTTCGCCCACGTCTGCTCCTGATGGTCCAAAGTGTGATGAACTTTCTATCAAATTTGTAAGGAGCTTCACTTATAAAATCTCTAATTTTTAATTTTCTATTTAGCATGCGGATAACTACATTTTGTTGACCAATGAAGACTTCATCGCTCCATCAACAACAACAACGGCGACCACGACTAATAAGCTTCCCGAACCAAACACGAGTGATGATCGTGAAATCCCTTTTGAATATCGTGAAATCCCTATTGGGTTTTTCAATCACACGCTGAAGGATGAAATGGTTACTCTTGCCGAACATGTCGAGGAAGTCAACAAGGACAACATTAGTTTATACACGAAGCATCCTGGAGCCTGTAATGTTACTTTTGAAGGCAATTTCATGTAAAACTCCTCTAAACTAATTTTGAAATAAATTTGACATTTTCAGCGTGCTTCACTACAAAAAGGAAAGCAAAGCGGCGAAGAATGGTTGCACTGTGGATTTGCTCTCGCGTTTTCACAACATGATCAAGTTTGAAACTGGAGTGAAGAACAAAGGAGGGATTGAAAAATGCCTGGGGAAATGTTCTTCAGAAGATTTGCCTTTTAATGGAAGCAGTGCCAATCTGTAAGTTTACATTTGTTTGGGAGGATAATATCTTAAAATTTTATTTTTAGTTTGCCCTTCGGCTACAGCACAACAAAAGATAAGAACATTACAAAGTTGAAAGTAAATGGACCGTTGTATGATCAGGATGAAAATTGTCATAATCAGCCTGAGTGTGGAAAGTCGGCAGATTGTATGAGGTGGACTTCTCTTGAAGCTGCGTGGACTTCCTGCAACAATAAATTCTTTGCTCACGCCCATCCAAGTAAGGATAAATGTTGTCTGCCTTATTTTGATAATTTTATTTTAGTGGGCGAAGTTCTAGCCGTTTGGAGTGCCAACACAAAGTTCGACACAAAAGCAAAAAATTTATCCTTCGGATTGACTATAATAGAGAAGGGCAATTTCATAATCAAATTTCGTGGACAGAAGTTGGACTATGCCGAATCGAGCAAAAAAGCTTTTTGTCTCCCTAACGACACGTTCGTAGCCGAGCCTGTTACTTGGAAAATCAACGGGACAGAGCCAAAATCGAATCACAACAACTTGCTTGTCTTCCATATGCTTCCACAAGAATCGGCGCGAATCAACAGTGGTGATGAAAGCAATATAAGGGTATCTCCTAAAGGACCAGAGTGTGATGAACTTTTTATCAAATTTGTAAGGATTTTCAAATTCTTATAAAATTTCAAAATTTTTCCTTTTTCTATTCAGCATAC